CAAATGACAAATGTTATAAAACGGGAGATCTCGTTAAAATGGATTCAAGTGGTGAACTGCGTTTCGTTGGAAGAGTAGATTATCAAATAAAACTTCGTGGACAACGTATTGAAACTGGAGAAATTGAAAAAGTTTTATTAGGAGCATCTAACGCTATTAAAAGCTGTGTAGTAGTAAAAAGGTTCGATGAAAAGTTGCAGCAACATCACTTAATTGGCTATGTAGAGTTATTGCGGAAAACGAATACAGATGATGCTTCATTGTTATTCCAAATAAATGAGTATTGTCTAGCACATTTACCTTTATATATGGTACCGTCAATGTTTGTTATACTCAATCAACTTCCATTAAACTCAAATGGTAAAGTTGATCGGAAACAGTTACCTGAAGCAGATTTCTCGAAATATCAAGTTAATGGAAATAATAAGGATAAGAGTTTTGAATATGTAGAACCACAAACAGATTTAGAAAAGGAATTACATTTGCTATGGCTAAGAGTATTTGGCGTTGAAAAACTATCCGTAAATCAGAATTTCTTTTCATTAGGCGGAAATTCCCTATTATTAATGAAATTGCTCACCTACTACCAAGCAAATTTCTCTCTAAAACAAGATATAAATATATCCCTTTTATTCAAGCATGCAACTATCCTGGATCACGTTCAACTGATACTTACACAAATCAAGCAAGCTGATCAAAACAGCAAATTACTGGAATGGCAATCGAACCATCTGACAAAAGGTAAGCCTTTTAGTTTTCCACTTCATTCACACCAGAAGTCGCACACATTGTTCTGGGCGTTATTCTAGTAATAGCAAAACTGCATCTGGAAAGCTCTATTAGGCAAAACTAGGCCAGAGCACACTCTGAAAAATAGTCGTAGATGAATAAACTACAATAAAAGAGTTTTTTGGGCTAAAAGACTGATAAAAAAACCCAAAAAAGTCTTTTACCGGTTGTTTAGGCCAAAAAACTAAAAACCGTTCGTGGTCGTTTCAAAATGGAAAACTCACGGTTTTTGGGAGAGTCTTTTGAGTCTAAATGACCAAAAAACCACACAACTTTTTGGTCATTTTGAAAAACCGAGGAAAAAACTAACACGAGTTTTTTAGACTGAAAAAACTCTATCAGAAATCGTAAGTTTTTCATTATGAAACCACCACGAACGCTTTTTAGTTTTTTGGCCTAAACGCCCCGTTAAAAAACTCCTTTGTGTTTTCTGTTCAGTTTTTTACTTTAAAAAAGTCATTTATTATAGTTTATTAATCTACGATCTTTTTTAGAGTGCACGCTTCACAGAGCCAGCCAAAACCCAACAACAATACTAAAGCAAGAAAACATACTCATACATCCATCCACTTTGGTCTACTAAAACCGCAAACTTGATTCCAATCAAATAAACCACACAGATATTTAACGTATATTAATCTGCAACCTGCATGGTCCTATTTTAAAATCTTATAGAATTACCAGCACTTAGTAAACGATAGTATTCAGAGGCCAATGAGAAGTGCTCGTTAA